GATAGAATAAAAACCACCGCTCAAATGGGCCGTGCAAATCAGGACACGCAACTGCAAGAAAGGCATAGCCGGCTGCCTCTGGGTTTGGACCGTTTGCTTGTGTGGTTTTTGAGCATTCCTTCTGCATGGCTTCACTGCCACTACGGGTCTTATACCGTTTTGTACGTGGAATTGGGTCAAGGCAAAATTATTTTAGCAGCCGCATTTATTTACGTAAGAGGGTATAAGGCTAGGCTCTTTGGCCCCTTTGCATCTGGGTTCAGCGTTCCTCTGGGAACGAGATAGGGGCCGTGGATTGAACGAGATGGGGCACAGTTTTTTTTGCAATAAGAGCCCAGTACATGTTCCAACATGGCAAACGAGATCAGGTGATTTTGTCAACGTACAATACAAGATTAAATATAAGGCGAACGAGATGAGGGGGTGTGGAAATTTAAAAATGCCGCGTAAGGCTCTTTTCCGGGGTTCATAGATCCGTTCGCAGAGCCTTGTGGTTACCTCGTAGGGCTCGGCTACATTCGGCTAACGTTTCTGGGTTTGACAGTTTGGTTTACATGTATTTTGCCTTGCGAAGACGTATGCAACTTCGTTCCCGAGTCCCGGCCAGACATTCGCAAGTTTCTGGGGCTAGAAATAAGTGCTTGAGATGAAGCCGCCAGGTACATGAAGCAGCAGCAAGCTCAGGCCAGCGAGTACTTTTGCCCGACGTGCCGCGCAACAGCCCATGAGGCGGGTCGTAGTGTCCAAAGCGTGCTGCCACAAAATGTAGATCTCCAATACATGGATTCTCCATGTAAGGGCTCTGCTCAAATTGCAGTAGCTTTCCGGCGTGTGTCGTTGGGGGTTTGGGCCAGCAGGCCCTGATGCGACTGGGGTTGGCTGTCTGTTTCTGGTATGACTGGTACTGGAAATCATTCCGCCATTGCCACCGCTAGAATAGCATAATTATGACGACTGCAGTACCACCGCTGGTACAGCCAATCCTGCTATTGCCACTACTGTACGCCTTGTTCTAGCCCTCCTCCTCCTGAAATGCGTTTGCGAAGTTTAGCTCTTGCTGGCGCTCGCCATGCTTGGCGGCAAGAGCCTGGACAAGCAGGGAGGAAAGACGGAGTGGGCAGAGGCCATGCGCCTGTGGCCGGGGGCCTTGGCGATTGGATTTCAATTTGTTGCCAGAAAGAACATTGAGCAAATAGAGAGATAGGGAAATCCCACCTGAAGCCCCCTTGAACTAACCCTCAGAAGCTAGGGATATCCATCCAAAAGCTGAGGCTGATTTTTTGTCTCTTCCGAACCCTATGCGCCGTTTCAGTCCCGATGGAGACAAGAACTGCAAGATCAGCTCAACTAGCTCAGAGTTGAAACCTTGGTGACAGGTCATGCCAATGCCTGACATTGCCGTCAACCCGCGGCTGTGGCAGGGGTTCTCAGAGTCTGCACGCTACACCAGGAAAGGGCTGAACTGTGCGCGCACACCACAAATGTTAATCGAGCTTCGGGTGACTCTGATTACTACTATATGACTGACTCTCGCACAATGACTTACCACATCTCACCACTTTGAGATAGTCCTTCCAACTGGTCCGGTCATTTTTATCTTGTCTTTTTCTTTCAGAGGCCCAACAAGGCCCGGCTCAGGTTCCAGTTTCTGGATGTTAATCGGTCCGGTCTGCCTGGCTGGTGCTTCCAAAAGCTCCCTTCATCAAGATTATGGGAGTTGAGGGTTGGGTCAGTAGAAGGCTTGATCCTGCGTCTTCTTGCAGGAGCTGGCTGCGATAGCTCTTCAAGGGCTGCTGTTACAAGAGGGAGGATCTGCAAAGGATTGTCAATCACTCCATAGCTTATTATTCCTGAATATCTAGCAGCCAGCAGTGAAGGATTGCCTTGCCTTGACACCACAAAAAAGAGGTGTATGTATTGTTCTTCATCCGCTTGAGACCTGGTGTCAGCCATAATATTGAAGGCTTTAGTTAGCGTTGCCTCATCCAAAAAGGCTGGACTTCCACCATCCCATGATGGGCCACGTTTGCTAACTTTCGCCTTATTCCAGCAGTTGCCTGACTCTTGATGCCAGGGGAGATCGATCAGAACACCGCCATCCAAGCGTTGGAGGCTGGGAGCCAGAGTGGATTCTGCCTTGTGGTCATGGGCTTACATTGCCAATGATCCCCACTCATCACCAAGTTCGTTCATGCAGATCCAAAAATCCCAGACAGCTCCCGTGTTGAGACCACGGAGGCCATGCTCCCCATCGACACAGAACGTCTCCACGAGTCCATCGCTGGGGGGCGCCGAGCTCGAGTTCTGATTTTGAGTGGTCGCCCAGTTCCTTCATGCCTCAGTATCATGAAATTCAAACTACTTCGTGATGCAAGTTGAAAGCAAACGTTCCATGAGGCTTCTTGTAATATTGGTGACGAGGAGTCGGTAAGTTCTGGTGGTTCGGATGAAGCTCAGCCTCCCCTATACCGAGCTCCATTCGTTGCCAATTGCTCTTACCCACCGGTTTCCAGGTCCTGCTGGGTTTTGCCTTGTGCTTGGGATTTCAACTGTCAAGGGGCCCCTCCATATTGGAAAAAGCTTGCATCCTGAGCAGCACAGGTTTACACCTTCCCAGGCCCACGTGTCCAATGATATATATATATATAATATCAGTGAGGTCCCCTGCAGGGGCCTTGACTCTTTCGAAAGAACTCCGTTTGATTCAGTTCTTGAAGTGTGCTCAGGTGCGCCAACTGGGCCAAGGACCAGCAGCTGTTGAGTTCTGCAGCCTACATAATCCAGATACACAGATCCCTGATTTGGATTGGGGCTCCAGACTCCAGACTAGGAGCCCACCACTGCAACTTTTAAGATTGTGGGAGGTGTATATGCGGCGACGATCTTTGGAAAGTAGTAGCAGCATCATGCCCTGCTTGAATTCCAAGAGGACAAGAGCAACAGGCAATAGACTCCGTACAGCCATATAGTCCATATAGTCTTGGACCCAGTTCGCATTTTGAGGTTTTACGTATAATTACCTTGCAAAACGATATGGTAACCGGCCAAAAGCGGTAGTCCTTCAGGTTCCCAAAACCTTGCGAATCGATAACATTCTTCATGCGAAG